CTTGCTTCAAAAGTCTGTCGTAGGTAAATTGGAATAGTTCCTGGAGCAGAACAGAAAACACCACTCCAAAGATGAGCACATTTTTCCATACTGATGCTTAATGGCTACCACCGATTTGCACAGCAACAAGCCACAGGGAGACCAGCGAGACGAAAGCCCTTGAATCAGAGGGGGGAAAAAAAACCCAAAGAACTGTAATTCATATTGCATTTTCCACTAGCATCTGAAATTTCTAATAAGGATCTCCATGAGACAAATGAATTTGCTGCAGAGTAAATACCACAAAAGAAATACATTCTAAAGAGTGAATTTCCCATGACAAGAAACTATTTTTTAATTTTAAGAAAAATTAAACTAGCAATTTCATCTCTGATGTGGACAGGGTGGTTAAAAAACAGTTAAATAACTCTACCCATTTATGCAAACTACATTACTACCGAAAGAGGAAGGACTAGCCTAATTACAGTGTGAGAAAATACAGAAAAGCAGGACCAGCTTCTAAAAACACTTTTGGTAAAGTCTTTGTCCTACCGTAGCTACAGTTCTTGGGAATACCTGCTAGGCACCGAAGATGAAACAACAGTAACTTGAATTTAGAAGTGCGTATGAAAATGGAGGGCCTGCCTAAACATCGGAGCTGGAAGGGGCCCAAGCTGGCGAGCACGGGGCTGCGCGCAGTGGGGGCTCGGGGCCAGGCCTATCCCGGGTGGGACACCCTGAGCACCTCTGCAGGGCACGCCAGCCCTCCAGGGCAGCTGGAGCAGGACAGAGGCTGTGCACCCCTGCACCCAGGGTGCTCACCCGCCCGTGCTCACTTACTGTAACGCAGCATTGGGAGCTTCCTCATGAATGCCCCAGGAGTAAACAAACCTCAGTCACCACCACATTAAGATCCCTGTTTTTTTTACCCCCAAGCGCAGCAGCGAGGTGTCCACGCGGCACAGCCTGTACCTGGCATCCCCAGCGCTTTGCCCCAGATGGGTGACTTAGGGCGTGGGACACGGGGCTGGGGGCATTTATGGCCAACGGGCGCAGCTGCCGAGGATCCCCGTAGGGAGCCTGGGCGAAGGTCCCCAGGGGCCGCCCGGGCCTGCGAGGCCGTGCTCCAGGACCACGCGAGGGCTGGTTTTCTGGGGCAGATGTGC